GTTTTCTGGGTTTTGGTTTTTTTTTTAGTACACCATGGTGAAGGACATGCTCTCTCCAAGTCCCACTGAAAGACCAGAGGCTGCAGCAATCATAGAAAATCCTGTATTTGAAGACCTGGAACTCCCACCAAAACCAGTGCTTAGGCAGAGGTCACGGACAATGAGTTTATCAGGAAATAAGCATTCCAGACAACCAAGCAAGTAACTATCCTCAGGATCACTTCTTCCACTCAGCAGGTTTTACAGGGATTGTTCAGCAGAAGGGTCCTATGATGCAGAATGTCTATCCTGGAAATAGTTTACTTAAACTTTTTTTGCCACGTTTAATGTGTAAGACGTGTTGGACAGATTTTTGTTTACTTTGACAGCCAACGAAAGCCAGTAACCACACTTTTCACATTCCATTTTTCTTACCTTAACTCTCCTAGGCGGATGGGTCCAGCTACTGTGCTTTACCAATGTTGTGCTCCATTATCATTTTTTTGGGTTTGTTGGGTTGGTTTGAAGCTTGTAAATGTCAGCTTGCTGGGTAAGTGAGAGATCTGTAACATGTAAATAGAATTAAAATACTGTATTTTTATAGAGCAAATTACAGTCTCTAAGCCTAGTGAGTATCTATCTGGACCACTTGCTCTTTGGTGAAATGAAGATGATTTTGAAATGAACTATGACTCCATTTTTGTCCCTGGTGGGTAAACTGGGAATATGCACTATTTTTAAAGCAAAAAATTACCACAGTTGTACATACTGTCACTCTCCATAGCCAGTCATTAGAGGAAATCGTTTCATACTTCTGCACTATAGTAGAGCTTAGGGAATGCATTTTATACAGATAAACCTCTAGAGAAGGAAAAGGAGCTTTTTGCCATTAAAAAAGGGGGGTTTATAGGCAGTGGTTGGAAGAGCCATAGTAAAAATTATGTACAAAAATGTTGTGATTCTGAAAATTTAAACCTAATGAAGTCATACGTGTCGTATGTAATCTTGTAGATTTGTACTTTTTAAAAAAATCAACTGATAGGCATTTGTGTAATCTGCTAATTTAACTGCCTAATGCCATGCTTTTATTTCTCATTGTAAATATGTTAATTTTTATTTATAAAATACAGAATCAATCCATTTGGGTTGGTGGTGTACAGAATGCACTTGCTATAATTGTTCAGTGCATTAATTATTGTGACTTCTTTCAAGTCTAAATGATTTAATAAACTTTTTTTATTTATAAAAAAAAAAGAAAATAGTAGTTGCTTCTGTTCAAAACCTGCATCAGTGCATGCTGCAGACGGCAGCATGGTGCAGCTGGAACAGGAGGACGGGCACTGCATTTCTCTAACGTGCTTTGCTTTTCTGCCTCGTACTTCCCCCGGTGCGTCTGATGATGCAAAGATGCATCTGCTGCTTGGAAGTGAGATACTATCTGAAGAAAGAAGGGAACTGAGCTCTTCTAAACTGAGTGGATTATGGAGGCAATGTCTCAACTGTTAACAGAGAGGGAAGTCTTGGAAGGGATAATTCTTACGCTGTTAGAACTGGTTTTGCATAAATGTATTTTCCTGTTTTATGGGCTTAAATTTCTGAAGTTGTAGGCTCTGAAATCAATTTCTGTAAAAGATGCTGGATTCAGATCCTTTTGGGGATCACTGTACTGTACTGTGGCACAGACTAGCAATTAAACCTGCTGACACTCTGCAGCCGTACGATAAAGCAAAAGTGGATTACAAAGATTGTCTTCCTTGTGCTCTTGGATTAACTCTCCTAGACACTGGCTTGTCCAGTTGATGCCCGAAGGCTACAGTGAATATTTGGTCAGAAATAGAACTTTATCGAGTTTAGCTGGGTTAAAACAGAAGACAGTTAAGTGCGTCCTCTTTCTTGGATTTCCCTGTTAGCTCAGCTGTAAATGCACAGTTAAATGCCCACGTTTAAGCCTCTCTCGCCTCCCTGCCAGTGCAGTGATTACAGGTGGAGCACGGGAGATTAAGTATTTTTAACTTGCTGTCTATCTGTGCTGAATATAAGTAGCTGCCTATTCCAAGGGCCCTGCAGCATTTCAGTACTGAAAATGGCATAGGTGTTCACACTAGGCGTGTCTGCTTGTTCTGGGATGTTACACTTACCCTCAAAGGCATGTACAAATCCTCCCCTGCCACAAAGGCACCTGGCCATGCTCAGCTCTTAACTGCCTGTGTCGGTGAGTCCCTGCTTCTCCTAGCACTGCATGCTGGAGGGTGTTGTCCCTGTCTCTGCTCCTTTTTGTTTGACTGAAAGTCTTTTCCCAAAGCAGAGAGGTTTTCCTCTGAACTCTCAGTGCAAGCACTCATTTCCCTGCCTCGGGCAGCTCCACTTGCTCTGCCACACCAGTGGGGGAAAAGGACACTTCTCTGTGCTACGAAATACCCACCTGGGCTTCAACACCCCCATCAGCTCCAGGACTCTACTTTACCAGCTCTTCAGAACCAGGCTATGCAGAGGGACATGCCTCCCATGTTCTTTTGCTTCTTTAAGACAGGTTTTGATTATACTACGTTTCCCTGTTCCATCTCTGTCCTTCTACTGGATGATGTTCTTCACTCAGCTCAGACCAAATGGTCAACTGTGACTGAAAGGCGGAAGGCCTTGGGTCTAATGTGCGCTTGCTCTATGCTCACGTCCTGGAAGGGAAAGCAGTGAAGGCAGGTTTTTCTCAGCTCTGTGCTGATGGCAAGCAGCAGCTTTCTGCCTCGTCTGTGAGATCCTGGTCTCTACATGACAGCCCTGGTGGCAGGAACATCTGATGGCTCATAGACAAGTTTATTGGCCTTCTTTCAGATTATCAACATCTAGGAACCAACTATCAGACTATCTCAGTATCTCTGTGACCACAGAAATCTGCGTGTACCTTCCTGCCAACTGTTTGCAGAGGGACACCTGAACATGGAGGCAAGGACAGCTGCCAGCTTACGGTCCTGCACAAGGGAGCTCTGGTCTGAGGCTGTGCAGCGCTGCAGTCCTAGCCTGTTCTTGCAGAGGGTGTTGCCTACCCTTCCACTCCCTGCCCCCATAGCTTTTGGGGCTGAAACATCATTCCTTGTCCTGTTTTATCAAAATTAACTGGGTGGCAGAAGCAAGAATCCTGCCTGTCCATCTTTGTGCCCACTGGATCTAGATGCTTCCTCCAGAATGAGGGCAGGATTGTGTAGTTCTTCTTACTGCTTCTGTGTTGTTGTTGGAGTTGTAGGAGCTGGGAGACCTAAACCACTCTGAGATGTCATTTGACAGGAGTACCAGTGTTGCAACCCCAGGTCAGGGCTGTTTCTTCTACCAGGCTCTTGAGAGACAACTTCTGACCCTTGCACAGTGTCCTCAGTAGCTGAGCTGCTCCAGGCAGTAGCTACTTGCTTTTGCTACCTCTGAGGACAGTCCTCTGCTACCTTTGAGCCGGCAGAGCAGAACACCTCAGGACTTTCACTAACTCCTCCTTTTTTTATTTATTAACAAAGTGACATTCTTCACCCTTCCAAATCCCTCACTCCAGTAGTTTTAGAATGATATGTTAGCCTGGATGTCTTTCTGCTCTGTTTGCTCTGCTTCCCAGGCTGCAGAAGCCTTGCCTGTCCCAGGTGGGTGATTGAGCACTCAGAAAAAGCCCTTTTAGAAACCACCCTGGAAGTGTTTCAGGTCCCCAGAAGAGCAGTCTAAGAGCAGTGACTCTCCCATGTAAACCAGCATGAGACCCCACCAGAACCATCCTGGGACAAGCGGTGGCTGTGGTCTGAGCGGTCACCAGCCCTCAGGTGACTCTGCTGCAGAAAAGCCGTGGTCCTGGGGGCTCAGGTCCTGCTTTTACTGTTAGATGCTGCAGAGATGTTTGGGAGCAGTCCTGCCTTTTCAGGGTAATCCTTCAATGAGGTGCTCCATGGCCCACCTGCAGGGAGCTGGTGCTGTTTGATGCTGTTTGCAGTCCAGACAAGCACTTGGCAGTGCTAAAAATCATCATTCCCATTTTTCATCTTCTGGTTTTTCTGGCTGTGTGGTCCAGCAATACTCTATAGCTATGCTCATAGCATCAAGGTGTAGACATCACAAGTGCAAAACACTCAGGTAAGTAATAATTCCACCTCACGTGCAGTTTGACTGGTGTCAGTCTCATGTAGCCCCCTCTGAACTCCCCGGGCATTCGGTGCTCTCGGTGCTACAAACATTTCAGCAAGTCTCACTCCTTTCCTGGGTTCTGATGCATCGGATATTCCCTTCCAGAATTAATAAGGAAACTTACAGATAATTCACAGAAAGCCACTGAAGCAATGATCTTAGATGTTACAAACAGTAGCCATGCTGTCTGCGCACATCGAGCATTCCTCCTGCCCGTTCCTGCCTGCTGCCGAACGCACCCTGTAGAGTTAAACACCAAGTCTGAAAGTGGAAAGCTCTGAACCTCTCAGCATTTCAGAAGCGAGTGAGTTGAACCCTGAGCAACAGCCCAGACTGCGGAGAGCACAAGCTGCTGGACCACGTGCTGCCCTTGTAAAGACACGACCTCGGCTCTTTGAGCACATCCCTCCTAACTCCCGTACAGAGACTGGCACATGTGGAGTTATTAAACCTGGTCAAATTTGTAATGTAAGCTGCAAGATGAGAGCTATAGTGGCTTGATAAGAAAGAAATACTGTCCCACCTTATGTTGTAGATCACCAGATGTACACAAAGACAAGTTCACATTATCATACTGATTTTTTTTTTTTTCCCCCAGCATAAAGATTCAATTTGTCTTAGGAAATGCTCATTAAAAAATAATTACCCAGGAAGGAATTAGCTCCATTAGTTATAAGAAATTACCCCTAAAATATCAAAGTTCCTCATTCGTAAAACTGTGGAAGATGAAGGAATGCATCTCCAGTGTATGCCCCGAGCTGTAATATTCCAGCCCCTCTTTCCCCTATTTTCCTACCCGTTATTTTCCATTAGGATGTGCTCTGGCACTTTCTGTACCACCACCTCCAGCAACTGATTCTGCATCCCTATTACTTGGGTTTGCCCTTCAGGGCACTGTTGGGCCCTGGCACTGTAATGCTATATTCTAGGTCTGGAGCAGTCTTGGAAAACGTGGCTATGGAAACCATGTCTTCTCCAATGTCCACCTGAGACCTATGCCTGCAAATGAGCAGCTTCTTCAGGGCCCGTTGGAAGTCCCGGTTCAGGAAAGCATAGAGCATTGGGTTGATGGTGGAATTGCAATACCCTAACCAAGTGATGATCTTGAAGGTGTCAACCAAGACCGTGCTGGTAGAGTCAGTGCCTCTGGCAGCGAGCCACACGTTCAGGACAAAGTACGGCAGCCAGCACAGCACAAAGACTGAAATGATAATGCTAATGGTCCGCGTGGCCTTGTTCTCCAGCTGCAGATGGTTCTGCCGCTTGCTGTTGGGGTGGTAGTGAATCTCCAGGGTCTGAGACATGATACGAGTGGCCTTGAGCCGTGAAGCTCGGTAGATGAAGAAATACATGCTGCACATGACCATGAAGGGAACAAAAAATGCCAGAGCAGAAGCCACGATGGCAAAAATCCAGTTGGTAACAAAGATGCATTCTCTGCCTGCATCGAAGTCCACCCCGGGGATCTCGTTCCAGCCTTGCATGACGGGAAGGAAGGAAATGAGGGAGGAGTATACCCAGACCGTGCAGGTCATCACGATGCATCTGTGAAAGGAAAGACATGAGAAGGGGAGAAAGGGTCTGAGTTATTTTGAGTTCAGAACATCCAGTACGATTCAATCCCCATGGTAACCTGTGTGGGAGACCACTGCTCAGCAGTCCCACAGGGCTTGGAGAAGTGGCCAAGCAGGAAAAAAGCTGGGGTAGAACAAGTCCATACGTGAGTATCTCTAACAACTGGGTCATTGGGTCTCTGGGTTACAGAATTGGGGTCGGTGTAAGGGATGCTCAGAGCCAGCTGAAAAAAAGAAGAGGAAAGGTTTTACAGAGGATTTTTGTAAATATTTACAACACCACCTTGTAGATTTTTTCTATTTGGTTTCAGCTTTAATATCTGGCCGCTATCTCATCCTCTGAGGAGCAGTAGGGGTGGAGGTGATGGACACTAGATCCTCAGTACCACTGCAGTGCTTGCTCTGTGGCACGGCAGGCTGCACAGCCCCCTCCTCATTTTGGTGACTGCCGGCGCTCCGCAAATCGTACACAGCAAGAGTCACAGTGGGAAAAACATCCCCGAAAGAGCCTGAACCCACCTTGTAACGCACCCTGCAACTGCAGCGTCCTCTCTGCCCACCCTCAGACAGCTTTCCCCACCCTGCAGTCCTCATTTCAACATTTCACATAAAACCTTGACAGGAGCTTAGAAATTTATCCTGTTTTCTATTTCGCCCATGAATATCATGAGTTTAAGAGGGGGAAGACTACTGCTACATGTATTCTTCTGGGTGTCATTTCCCCCAGCCCTTGTGGAAATTCCCATGAAACGCCTGCAAAGGGCAGAAGCTGTAGGCACAAGTCAGCCCACGCCACCGATTTCTACCCCATTTTGCAACTCATCCTTAACTCAGAAAGTGTTTTCCAACCAGCTCTGCTGCATTCTCCTTTTCTCCTGCACCACATTAAACAATTTCTGTGAAGTTTTAAACGGTGCAAAGATCCTTTTGCCACATCACTCTGCAGCAACTGTCAATAGCTCATTTGGTCCCTAGTCAATATAGGCCATGGCCAAGTACAAATTTGGAAGGACTCAAAGTGAGGAGCAACTCCACTCACCTGCCACGGGACATCCTTTTTGAATAGTGGTAGGGGGTCACCACGGAGCAGTATCTGTCCAGGCTAATGAAGCACAACGTGACGATGGATGCAGTGCAGAACATGACATCAAAGGAGATCCAGACTTTGCAGAACAGCTTCCCGAACAACCACATCCCCGTCACCTCGTAAATGATACTGCCAGAGAAAATGGGTAGAAACCAAAGCGAGAAGGACTGATTTCATGCCTTTCTTCAAGCCTCCACTGAGGCGATGCCATATTTTAACACGGAGATACTAAAGACGGGCGTGCAGTGTAGGGAGGCTCAGTCGGACAGCACGGATTCATCCTCAAAGTGCAACCCAAGACAATAACCCACAGGTGGGGCACGGCTGAAGACGACCAAACCTATGCTCCTTGCCTGCGCTCTGTGACAAGCAGGTCCCTTGAGAAAGGTGCTTTGCCCTGCAGAGGTCCCCAAATTTACATACACATTTATCACAGCTTTTCCAGTGCCCTATGCAGCACAGACTTTTATGAATTCTCCCCAATTCCTGGGGCATGGAAGATGCTCCCTCCTCCAAGAAACTCACTTTTCATCTGGTCTCATGCTTCAGAACAAAAGGTTTTCAACTCTTGGGTAAAACCCAATAAAACCTAGGAGGAAGCCTATGTGGCTTGTATGTTATGTAGCTCACATATGCCTCAGCGAGGTAAATACACCAGCAAAAAGCAGATACTATGCCAAAATTATTTGTAATAAAGTCAAGAGGGGCCTGTGAGAAGTGAGCAGCAAAGGAAGGAACATATGGCAGCTGTAGGAAGGCTGATGCATGTTTCTATAGCGTTCAGTTAGATGCCATTCACTTCCCCTTTCTTTCAGCAGCTTTCTGCAACTCCCGGGGTGCTGCTGAAATAACCATTGTGTGTGAATTTGATGTGAAAGGCTGAGTAACTGCTTAGTCCTGCAAAGCTTTAATTATCCGCTAAGTTCCCAGCTTGCTGGTCAAATACGGTGAAAGTCGGGCTGCTGCGGAGCGGTGCACGCAGGTGGGCTGTGCTGTCTGACAAGGGCAGAGAGAGTCACCTTGATGTCAGATGAGTTGGAAACCAACCTCAGTTCTGCATCTAATTAGCAACAACTCATTAAAATGACTTTATGAAGATTCTTTTAGAGCACAACTAATGTAAGTGGGTAGGTACAGTGCTGGCTGAAGGGCCCCAGCTCTCGGCAGCTTTTTGTTATGCAGGATGCTATGCAAAAAATCAAACAAACGTTCATCTACAGCAGAACCTGTCCCTACACCGTGGTGGCCTCCACATGGGCAGCACGGAGGGTCCCACTGCACACACATGGAAAGGTTTTGTGGCTCTTTTCTAGATGGGGAAATGAGACAAAGAGAAGTTGAAGCATGAGTCTAGTAAAGGACTTGAATGTCTTGGTGCCATTCCTCAGAAGTCCTCCTTATCTCCAGAGATGCTGCAAAGCCTGTGGTATGAGCACCATGGCCTTCCAGAAGTAGACCGTGCTGCTGTCATGAACATCCCTGACACAGTTCCTAGCTGAGCAGGTACCTAGCTCTCATCAGCACGCATCTGGTGGGATGCACCTGACCTTGCAGATGTTCTCACAGCACACGGTAGTGGATACCTGTTCCCTTTTCTCTGATGTAAAAAGTCTCTGCAGCTTGGAAATGATGCTGGTTAAAAGGAATAATAAAGGCCCAAAGAAATGCACAGTATAAGCAGAAGTGAAGTCACCTCTGTGTTTCACTTATGCTTGCAAATGAAAATAGTAGCTGGAAATAGCCTGGAAATGGCTGGGCTGGCTGGAGTACCCAGACAACAAGCTAAGCACAGCTGAGCCGCTCCTGCAAACAAGCCGAACCAGGAACAAACCGGCAGTCTTACTCTTATGAAATTAAGGCACCAGGCGACAACCTCGTTTTTACTTTCTATCACATTTCCTGAGCCAAACTGGCTCCTAAGATAATTTCTTTCCTTCTCTTTGGCATGTGCTAACATTCCGACTGAGGAGCAAACTGCAATTCAAAAGAGCAACATAGATACGAAACCGAGTTGTGGGAAAGATGTGGACCAAGAGCCACTCCATCAGCAGGGCTGAACAACGCCCGATGGAGATGGCAGGGTCCGTTCCTCACCACGGGGCCCACCAAAAGCCGGAAAGGCTTCACACCAGGTGATGCCAGGGCACTCAGGAGGGGCACAAAGCGTCAGTCGTGCTCTGCTCTTTGCTCCCCTCCGTAGTTTTTTGTTGTTAAATAAGATATCACTCTCCTAGGTGGGCCATTTTCTCTCTGGCTGCATAGCAAAGCCTTTGGTTTTCATGGAAATCCTTCCCCCTTTGTAATGCCCTCTACTATCCTTTGACAGGACAAGGGGTAATGGTTTGAAACTAAAAGAGGGGAGATTCAGACCAGATATAAGGAAGAAATTTTTTACGTTGAGGGTGGTGAAACATTGGGACAGGTTGCCCAGAGAGGTGGCAGATGCCCCATCCCTGGAAACATTCAAGGTCGGGCTGGTCAGGGCTCTGAGCAACCTGATCTAGTTGAAGACGTCCCTGTGCATTGCAGGGGGGTTGGATGAGATGGCCTTTAGAGGTCCCTTCCCACCCAAACTGTTCTGTGGTTCTGATTCTATGATCCTTCCCCTCCACTCATATTCTTCACAGCTGTGGTCCGCTCCTCATCCTTGTGCCCTTCTTCTCCTTTCTTGTTGGGCATGAGAAACCGCAGACAGAATTCCCAATGAAACATATTTTCAGCTGTTTCTTCTTGTTCCTTCCATGCTTTCCTGGGAGCCTATAGGTAGGAATCGTTCAATTCCCTTCCCCTTTGCGTTCCTAACTGAGCAAAACCTGGTGCCAAATTCCCTCGTTGCCCTTGATAAGGAAGAGATCTTCCTCCAGTTATGGGGGATGCCATCAGTCTTACAGGGGGAAATTACAGCTGCCGCGACACCCACCTTGCTCTTTGCTACCGCTCCCTCCCGTCACCCCCATTGCAAATACCACGTCAGGAGGCAGAAGTTATGAGGATGCTGAGTAACTGGAAATTTGAACTGGCGATTCAGGGAACAAGATCAGCCAACCTGGAGACCCTTCCCACCCCTGCCTGGCAAAGTGCCACTTCCACAACCCCGTCTTTCTCCAACATGGGGCAAAACCCCCACTATCAGCAATACAAATCTCCTGGTTAAGTCACTACTCTCATTCCCACCGACTTTAATAGAGTAGGAGAGGTTAGATCATCGTCAAGCCCCTCGGGTGGATATTTGTAGCACCAGGTAGAGGGGAGAGCCAGGTGAATACAGATGGATGATTTCAGAACCTGAACTTAAAAAGTCACCGAGCTTAGAATTGAAATTGGCAATAAGATTTTTTTAAAGGGCACCATTAACTGCTTTTTTTTTTTTTTTTTTTTCTTCCACCTGACACTATAATTCAGTTTGTAATTACTTGTTGGGAAAATACCTTTTGGTGCCAAATTCAAAAGCGTAGGCAGCCCTGCGAGAGCGAAAGCACAAAATGGGAAAAGAGTTCAGCTTCTTCATATTGCTCCAAGAACACTAAGTAGGGTGCACCCTCCCAGCTTTACACCAACCTACGGCCGTTTTACAGCACAAGGCAGCCAGAGCCTACAAGTAAACTGATTTCTGCATGTGCTTTATTATGTTTTAGCCAGGCAGCGAAGCTCCCGTAAATATAAACCTCATGCAGGCAGAATTGCCCTCTGAAGTGCCTCTTCCTCCATTAAATATAGGGTGAGCCTCAGTTACCCTATTTATGCTAAAATAAAATAATCCTTACATTTAGACAGAGAGAGGGGAGACGGTCTTTGTCCCCATAACAACTCTGCCGGTTACCGATGTGCAACGCAGTCGGGCGATAGGGGCAAAACAAATCCCCCATCTGTTATCCCGCTGCAGACTGCAATTCTCCTGGCCTGTTTATGCAGGCAAAAGATTTATTTTGCCAGATCACCGGCCTTCCCCACAAACTCCACCGGTATGTTGTCTGAACCAGCAGGAACAAACAAAATTCTGTGTTTCAGCAAGAATATGAAGAATAACATCTCTGCAATAGCCTTTCAAGTTCAGTAATATGAAATCATCCGTTTTCTTACACTAGTAAGGAACATTTTTGCTTCTCCCTCCCACTCCCAGAAAATAAAAGATAACGGGAAAGAAGTGTAAAATGGAAAGCATAGAATTTAACTCCACTGATTTCAGTAGTCAGTCTTGACTAAGAAAAATGGGGGAAACACACACTCTGTGATTGGCTGTCCATTTGAAAAGTTAGCAGGATCAACGCAGTCATTACACTTTATGCTGACACGCCTCATCTCGCATTCCCCAAACACACAGAGCGTGCAAAATCATCTAGCAACTGTGTTGGCCCCGCGTGCAACACAGGGCTGGTCCTGGAAGAGGGGACTCATCTCACTGGAGCCACCTGAAAAGCTGGATATCTAGTTCACACCAGCAGCCAGGGTCCCTCTATAGCCAACAAGAAAAATACCCGTGGGAATTCTCTTCGGTTCGTTATAAGGGGACTCATTAAAAGGGGCAGGGAAACTGAGGCACGGAAATACATATAACCACCGACCCACAGTTAAACTCTTTGGAGAGCCCAGCCCTAAGCACAGCACAGGAACTTCTAGCCAGCCCTGCTTGAACAGTGGCCGCCGAGCTAGGAGAAGTGACATGGCATGCACACACCGCCATCCGATCTCACCTTACGAGCATTTCTTACCTAAAGGGCATGACCAGACAAGCCACAAGGAAATCTGCCATGGCCAAGGACATGATAAACATATAGGTGACGGTGCGTAGCCTCTTCTCCACCACCGGGCAGATGAAGACTATTGTATTTCCCAGGAGCGTGATCAAGTCAATGAGGGTTAGTATCAGCCCGATGACCACCTCCTGGAGGCCGATCCCTGTCCAGTTGCCACCTCCTTTCACAAAGGAGGAGGCAGCGGAGGAGAAATTAGAGAGCCAGGTTTCGTTTTTGTCCATCAGCATCTTCCCACTGTTAAAATCTGAAAGAGAGGAAAGGGGAAAAAAAAAAAAAAAAAAGGACTTTAATACACATGACTTGTATGTCTATGAAAGGAAGTATAGAAATACTGTTTACGCTTCATTTACTTCAAGAAAAATCCACACACCCTGCTGTGTCTGTGCCATCATTGTCCCATGGTTATCAGTCCATTAGAAGTGTCTGAAACCCTGAGGGTGAGGGTAAATACGCAGCACTGGCTGAAGTCCTTCATGGCAATTAAAAGCTCTCCTGTGGATGAAAATGCATCAGGTGAAGCGTGATAAAAAAAAAAAAAAAGTACTGAGAGCAGAGAGAGAACAAGTAAGCAACCAAAATACACAATTAAAGCAGCTCTGCTAAATCCCACTGAACAGCATACTATGTCCACAAAATATGGACAAAATATAAGCTTTAAGGTCCCTTCCAACCCAAACCTTTCTATGATCCTATCATTCTATATTCTCATTATCATCTTTGCCACCCACAGACCGGGTGATACTGCTTGCCCAGGCTGGCTGCTTTTGTAATGCCACTGTTCAGTACATGCTCTGCTCTGGGTTGTCCTGGTACTTTTTTAGGCTCTGAAGTTAAAACCTTTTCACTACCACGGTGAGCATCTCCATCCTACAGTCTGAATGGCCATGCAGAGCTGCCAGCAACTGCAGGGAGCTTAATGCAAGTAAACAAGTAATTGAGGCATCTGAGGTGCAGAGTCATGTCCCTTCTGTGCCCAGCTGGGAGAGGATGCTCCCAACTCCGTAACGGGGGACTTAAAAGTCGAGGAAGTTCACGTGCTTGTGTCCACAGCTCAGTTCCCAGACTTTGACCAAGTGGTGGCACAGGTGCCTGGGAAGGTGGGATTGGTGCGCTGCAAAACTTCCAGCAGTTCGAAATTCACTGGTGTGGCTAATGGGAACACAGAGGCAAAACTTGAGGGGAAAAGAAAATTATACAAATATTTCCAGACATCAAATTTTTATGTTTGAACACCACCGCTTCTCCTGTGACTGGGCTGTGCTTCCACAGTACCCTCAGGTCAATCCCACATCCCCAGGGCATCCCTACTAGACACAGTGTGAGCATGGGTCAGGATACAGGCCCAGGTACTCCAACATGCCGTGCCTCACCACGGCCAAGCGTTGCCTTAGGAGGATTATAAGAACAAAGCGGCATGTAGCAAAATTTCCTTGATGTCTGTTTTTCCTTCCAGCAGCCTATGATCCAGAATTACCTCTAGAGATGGTTTCAAGGACTTCTAAGTCACGAAGTTGTCCTGCTTCCCCTTTGGCTCATGCAAACTTTTAGCATCCATGACCTTCTATAGCAATGACTTCCACAGCTCAGCTATGCACTGTGCAAAGAAACACCTCTTTTTTACTTGTTTTGAGCCTGTTACCAGCTAGTTTCATTGGATGTCCTCTGGTCCTTGTATTGGAAAAGGCATCAGCAAGCAATTCCCATCCACTCAGTGCCACTGGTGGGCTCTGTAATCTCTGTCACATCCCCCAGCCCCCTCATCACCTCTTGGTCAGGCTGAGGAGCCTTCACCAACTTGCTCATTCCTCCTACAGAAGCGATTGAGGACTCCTGGCCATCCTTCCTGCTCTTCTGAGCCTCTGAGAAGGACCAAAACTACAAACAATTCCCAAGAGGTAAATGCACTGTAGATTTATATATCGGCATAACTATGTTCTCTGTTTTGTCCTGCTTCCCTTTCATAACAATCCCTAACGTGGTTTGCTGCTTTTGATTGGCACTTAGCACCGAGCTGACCTTTCCACAGAACCGCCTATCGCCATCCCAAGATCTCATTCCTGAGCAGTAACAGTCAGCTCAGAGCTCGCTGCTTTACACAGGCAAACAGGATGAAATGAGGAAATTAGGTTCTCTCCATCTCCCCCAAACCCCATCACTTAACAGTTGAATTTCTTCTTCCATTTTAATGCTCAATGACCCTCATAAAAGCTTTTCTGCAATTCTTTAAGCCAGGCCTTACCGTTCATGCCCTGATTGAACTTTGTTTCACCTGCAAATATCGCCACTTCACGATTCACAATTTTTCCAGTTAGAGATTTATTGAACCCCACACTTCCCAGCCCCTATCCCTGTAAAGAGCGTCACTGACCTCTTCCACGCAGCAACTCACCATCCACTTCCCCCTGCATTTCACCTTTCAGACAAGTATTTATTCACAGAAGGAACTTCCTTCTTAACTCAGGACTATTCATTTTCCTTAAAAGCCCCCGCCATGAGGGACCATATTTAAAACCTTTCAGAAATCCAAGCAGACTACACCAACTAGGTGCTTCTCATCCACATACTTGCTGTCTTCTTCCAAGCACTCTCATATGATTGTGAGGCTGGGGGGCTTTCTGTAAAAGCAATGCTGACTTTTTCCTTGGATGTAATTGTGTACTGCGTGCACCCATTCAACCTTCCAAATTCTCAGCTCCCTCCCCTGACTTCTACTTACTTGCTGGATTTAGTGGTTTCCTTTCTTTCAAGTTAAAAAATAAAAAATAAAAATAAATAAAAATCAAGAAATAACTAAAGCTGTCTAGAAGAAATTAGGAAGGAAAGCTCCTCCTCTGCCCCTCCTCACCAAGCTGGGAGTTGCTGACTGAGCCCTGAAGCTCTCCTGCTCCAGCGCTGACAACGAGCAGCTTTGTTGGACATCAAGCTCTGCGGCAGACCCCTGAGCAGGTGCTGCTAAAAGTCTACAGGGTGTCTTAAGTACATTTGTCTTAATGAAAATGTTCCTTGGACAACATTTCCTGACAACACCCCATAAAAACAAAATTCAAAATCCTGTCTCCAGCTCTCACGTTATTGACAGGAAAGAGGATAATCTGTGCCATTCTTTCCAACAACCTGTGGAGCTCTGGTCACGAGTCAATGTCGCAAACATCCCTCCCATTGGGTTTTATTCACGCAGCTTTAAAGGTGCAGGAAAGCAATACTCGGTGTGGGAGAAAGGTCTCCAACAGATGGATCAAACCCCTTATTTACCAGCAGCAAAGGGGACATACCTGCTGGAAATGTCACCTTTGACAAATACACCAGGACATACTCCCATCATTACTCCCAAAACTTGGTTTATTGGTAGTCTCAGAACACTAATCCGAGAGACACGCACGTGCTGGGGATATCCTTCAAAGGGATGGCAAAATAGCGACAAAGTTTGCAACATCACTTTTCCCGAAAGTGAAAATCTTAGCAAACAAGAACGCTGTGGAGTACCCTTTACCCATTATCCCCCACAGGGGACACCCTTAAACACCAAACTTCTTATATATGCTGTGAATGACATGGACCAATAACCTGTAAAACTAACCTTTGGGGTTAGCATGGGGATGCTCCAATGGAAAATTTTATTCTTACTTAACATTGGAATATCATGTGGTCTGGGGCGTGGATTGGGTATCCCTTCTTTGTATCTGTCCTGTGTTTTTAATTTTGCAATACCTTCCCAGCGGTCACATAGAGAAGCGGGAAAGAATCCCAAGACCCGCCCCAAATGGGTGATTAATGGAGTTTAACTCCCAAGTATTATACTAATGGACAAATAGCTGTGTTAAAGTTTGAAAATATTTTTACCCTTTATGTAACCTTAAAACAGAACCAATTTGCCCTAGAAAATATTACCTGGCAGGTACATCTTTTCAGTAACTGGACATGGTATGCCTTTGGAGAGTTAAATTTACAGGTCCAACAGGTATCGAAGATGACCCTTCAGAATTGTCTATGATATCGCTTAAAGAACAAGGAGTTTGTGGGATGTTAAATCTCACTGACAGAGAATGTTGTATCACCATACACAATGCTACTACCTGAATAGAGGAGGCTAGAACAAAAATGAAGGAGATAACAGAGCAGACGGCAGAACTTTTTCAATCCATGCAACTGGAAGATTGGTTTGATGGCGAGACTCCGAACTCTTGGTTACAATCCATCCTACAATCCATGGGACTCATGGGATGGGGGGCACGGTTAATGAAAATGGGACTAACATTAGTTGTCGGTTTCCTATTTTTAATGATTGGCATAGCTGTTGTTCACTGTATGATCACCTGTGCCATCTCCTCCTTCTCTTCTCTCCTTTCCCCCTGTGTTCGCTATGTAAGAATGACCACTCTAGAAGATGACCTCCAGGAAGAAGTCAAGATGTCTCTTTGAGCCACGGGGTGGTGTGGAGCTCCGGTAATGAGTGAAGGTCGCAAACATCCATCTTAACACAAGCAAGGACAAACGAGCGGAGCCTGTGGAGGCAAGATGGCCTCCGTGTGAGCAGACAGGGACCATCTGTCTCCTGAGCATGCATGCCCGGGAGGGGTCATTGCTCGGTCATCCCCAAAGAGAGGGGGACTGCGGGACCCCCAGCACCCCCACAACCCACCGACTCATTTCTAGAACATTCCTGAGCACACACTGCACCTGCTCAGTGGCGACAGACCTCCCACCTGTGGGGCGGGCACATCGGGTTACAAAAAGGGGAAGCATTTTTTGGCACGCGCCTGCCACATGAGGATTACAACTACGAGCAGAGAACATCGCTGGATCCAAAGGTGATGATATCTTTTTTCTTTTCCTCCCTTTCTTTCCCTCTCTCCCTCTCTGTTCCTCTCCACCATTCTCTTTGTCTCTAACTTCATCTTCGGCACATGAGGGTAATACCGTTACAAGTTTTGCTGAGCCGTTCTCTCTCATGATTCCGCTGAGTTTTAAGAATTGTTATAACTTTTGCCAAGCACTTCCACTGAGTTTTAAGTAAAGTTGTGATTTGTTTGAACCTCTCAAGTAATTGTCATTACTCCTGACTACCACGCAGAGAATTAAAAAGTTATCTTTACCCTCACCCACCAAGCGGGATGGGACACAACCCCACTGAGGATGTCATCAAACAGGATGAGCTCCTTCAGAACAGTTTGATTGCAATGCAACCACATTTTCTGGCAGAAAAATTGTTCAGCCCATTCTCCCCTTTACGAGATCCGCACAGACAGCACAGTGACTGCCAGCTGGCAAAACCATATGGTGACAATGCACGGCCGCACAGCTGGCCAAGTTACAGAACCTGCCACCGCAAGGTCCATTGTATGGTCCACATCCATCTTCTAGATCATCTGGTTATCTGCCACCTCCCATACCTGCTGAGAGTGTCCTCACACCTCTGGAGTCCCTGCAAAATCTAGAAACAGTCCTCTGATTTCCATCTTGAGCTGACCCCTAGCCAGTTTTAGCACATGAGTATCATCCAGTCAGCCCTACGTTCTCCTGGAAGAGCAGGCAGCATTAAGATAGGCTCCCAAGGCATGAGTAGCAAAACTTAGACTTAATTAATGTCAATCTTTTCTCCTTTTTTCCTTTGGCCTCATAGATGAGAATGCTGGATTCATTGTCTGGGGTTTTTAGATGTAACACTGAAACAAGAAGGTTTAGAAGTCACACCTTCCTTCTGCAAACAATGACTGTGCTCGCATGGTTGTTAAGTATGTATCAGTGTTAGCCTAACTCTAACTAAAGCTGATCATTACTTAACACAACATTGCTCCGGTACTGATCTGTGAACACACACCACGCTCAGACTTCAAGCAGGACACAGCTATTACAGTTCACCTTTGCAAGCACTCTATTCTACTCCAGTGTCACCTTAGCCCCCGGCCTGGGTTAAAAGTCCTTTTCAAGTGAAAAACTAACAGCAGGTTGCTTAATGCAGGATACATCTAGGAGCATGGCACAATGATGCACAAATACAGGAGACAAATGTGTCCACCCTCACAAAACGTTAGAGAGACAGTCTCTTGCATCATACTATTTGTTGGTCACCACAAGGACAGACTGTGGGGCTGGAAGTGAGACTCTCCTCATTTGACATCCGCAGTTTCTCCAACAACACATATTCAGCAACAAAAAGGGATGATGGGTGCTTGAAACTTCAGGTTTGGGTTCAGGGTGCAGACAGCAGGGTCCTGCTGCTCCTGGCTCCTTTTCAAGGATCCCCAGGCAGAGAGTCCCTGGAAGTCCATCTGCACTCAGGGTCACAGCCAAGCACCCAAGCTTACGTCTCTCATCCTTTTTGCCTCTGAGTGGGCAGCCAGCAACTTATCTCTTGCTAAGAAGTGCTGCTCCTGAACCACCTGGAGAATTGTTAATACAGGAAAGTGGGGGATGATACAATCTTCACATCTCTCTGGAAATCTTTGGGACAAAATGGGATGTGCTGTCCTTCCAAGGGATGTATCTTCACAATGTATTCTTCTACAAGCTGCAGCAGCTCATGTGGTTATGCTGCTGGTACAGCACAGCGTCTGTCTTTAACATCAGTCTTTCAGCCTTTCCTGTAAGGAGTCCTCTTAGATCTATCGGCTAAATGCTCAGCTGTACCATGATGTGGGATCATCCCAGGTTTCCTGGGAATCTCAGATGCCTTAGGTTTTGCGTTGTTCTTATTTGGACATTACAGTTTTGCTTCTCTTCAAAAATTGATGGGCTAGATTCTGTTCTGAGTCTGCCTGAGCAATTCCATCATTTCAGTGGTTTTCCTTTAACATACAGAAAGTTTGACCTAATTTATCCAGCAAGCAAATCCCAAGTAAAAGGTTAATTTCATCACTAAATGGTATCTTTTGATGGCAGGGGAGCTAAAAATAGCTCTGTAATCTCAAGGCCAACTGCACTTTAAAATCTTAGAGGAATTATGAAAATTGGAAATATATTTGCTGCCGGACCCTGCTCCTCTGCTAAACCAAGTACAAATCAACGTGCAACTGTACCTGCCCCAGAACCTCAAAACACATTTCCCTCCTCCCCTCTGCCCCGAGGTGAGACTGCATCGCTCAGGAATTTGTTGAACAGTGCATTGCTCTGCAAGGCTGGTGTGCAGTGATAAAGGAGCAGGAACATCCCTGGGCGTGCTTCCACCTGTAAAACAGGCAGTCAAGGAGGCCACGCAGCAAAAAAGCCTTTGCACTGACTTCTCTTTTCTCTCTCTCTTCCTCCATCC